CAATGGGTCGTGTCTCATATTATTTGTTATATTTTTATTATTCATTATTTTCACTTGACTCGCATAAATAATTTTGTTCAAAGAACATTTTATGCAGTTTTACTTCGCAGCACTTCACTTGCAATTTGCAATTTCTAGTAATAAGCTTTATTTAAAACACGGCAAACTTGGCTCAACTAACAGTTGTTATTCTGCAAGGCCGTGTATACAACAATTTAACCAGAAAATAAAAAAATAAAAAATTACTTAAAATACACAAATCAAACAATTGTTTAAACAAACAAATATCTAAACTAGACTTAAATCTTAAGCTAACTTAATTACACTAAACAAACTCAAACAAAATAAAAATACTGTAGTTTATTTTAGAAACTACCATTAACAGTTATAAGTGTTATTACAATGTTGCAATTATATACTTTTTAAATAAGGACAATTTCCTAACATTTTTAACATCATTGCTTATTTCATTCCAAAGTTAGGCACCTCTATATGACAAACCTCTCTTTTTGTAGTCAGTTTTTGGTTTTGGCAGTATTAATTTTGGTTTAGTTCTTATATTATAGTAATTATTTTTAAAGACAAATCTGTTAGATAAATAATGAGGTACAAGGTTATTCATAATCTTAAACTCTCCTCAAGTGATTTGCTAACTTTAAGATTATGAATAACCTTGTACCTCATTATTGCTAACTTTGGCAGAAAAATACACTGACATATGCCAACTTTCAACATTTTTTTTTTCAGGCAAAGATTAATAAAAAGCGAAGCAACAGTGACAGAATTCGTAGGACATCAGATGAAGATAAATTGATGATGAAGTTCTCAGGTGCAACATTAAAAGAAGAGGTAACATCAGTAAAGGTGCCAGTTTCTAAAAAAGTGACTGCAAGTGCCACTCAAATTGGCAATAAAACGATCACAACATCTGATCGTCCGTTGAGTTGTGTTTCGACTGGTGCTGAACATGATGGTGCTATCAGCTTAACAGCTTCTGGTAGCTCTAAGTATGAGCGCCCCTTAAGTATGATATCAGGGTGTACTGTTATAAGTGAACGAGACCGGCCTGTTAGTATTGCATCTAGCCTTGCATCCAGTGGATCAACGCGATTGGAAGTGACTAGTGATAGTACGCCTTCTCTCGAGACATTGCATATTTCAGGTAAGCTCACTTTCTTTTCGCTAATACTTTTTAACTTTTTCATAATTCAGTTCTATGTGTATTGTGAATATTAGTCTATTTTTATACATTAGATATTTATCAATTTTCTTTTATTTTTTTTTTTCAGCGGAGGATATAAGATTATCTGAGATTTTGTCTGAAAGCGAGGAAAATGTAGGAAGTAATTCTGAGGTAATTTTGCTAAATAATGCCATTTGTTAATTTTCTTGTTTTTAAAATTATTTAAAAATACAAAAAAAACAAAAAACTAGAGGATCTGCTAATAAGTTTTAAATAAAACAAAAAAGCAGTAACTCTGAAAATGGATGGATGGATAAGGTTCTTGAAAATGATCAAAACTTTGAATCTGAGAGTTACTGTGTTTTTATTTAATTTTTACTTTGATACAAAGTGACAGAATTAAATTTTTCTTTGATTATCAATATAAGTAATATATTCTAGATTAAACTTCAAAATATTTCATTATTTCCCAAGAAAGATGATTTTTTTAAATTTATATTTTTAAATCCCTACATATATCTTACTAAGCTTGTTGAAATATAGAAATCCAGAACTCTTTACCCTCTGATTGGCAGTGATGCCCTACACAATAAAATTAATATTAGTGAAAAAAAATAGGAAGTTAAATAAAAAAAAATGTATACATATTAGAGAAACAGATAATTATTATAGTTTACTCTGATTATAATTTAATTCCAGACTTTAGAAAAACAAGATGGTGCCATACCTATTCCAAAGCCACACCAAGTAGCATCCAGAAATGCCTGTAATTCACATGGTATAAAGTCATCGACAAAATATCAAAACACCGAAGTCGGCAAACCTTCAAAGGAAATACAGCCACAGAAGCCATTAATAAAGAGGCATCAATCTCTTATCAATGATAGGGAGCAGGAGCTTATCGGTAAGATTAAAGAGACCTTGAAGGAAAGTGAAGGGAAGACAGAGGCCCCTCCACTTTCTCCTTCCAAGCTCACCAAGATTGAGCCACAGATAGAGCTTGTCAAACTGGCCAAGAGTCCTCAGAGTCAGAGAGTAGATATTGGACAGAAGGTTACAGCACAGACAGACACAGTGCGTCAGAAACCAGAAATCCCAGAGAAGAAATGGAGCCTTGAAAAAAGAGAGTCTATTAAGAGAATAATTGAAAATGAAGCTCTAAGTAATGCAAAGAAACATGGAGTTGACAGATTTTCAAAAGCCACTGGAAAAGTTGTCACCAGAAGAGCTACTTCTGATGACATTAGGAGCAGTCCAGCAGTTTGGAAAGATCCCATGTTCAGCAAGCGACGAGATTCTTTTGAAAGTTTAGCCAAGTTATCAAATGATAATACACAATCAAAGCAATTGTCAGACAATTTAACCAACCAGGATGAAAATCAAGTACAGAATTTAAAGAAAAAATTTATGCAACATCGTGTTGGAAAAAATATAGAAACACTTCCTTCAGTTAATGTATTGAAACCACGCTCTTACAGAACAGCACGTGAGCTACCAAAAGAGGGATGTGTTAAGCAATTGAGCCAAGCTTTCTCACTGGGTAATCTTGATGAAACAAAAACTCTGACTGGCAGCACGCCTCAAAGTTTATCCCCAGCTTCATCTTGCAGCTCAATTCCAGTTATTGCTTATAGTTCAACAGTTGCTACTCATATTCGTCGCTTGAAAAATCGCACAACTGACAGTTCCTTTGAAGAAGGTTACTCCGAGCGACCAAAATCTGATCCAAAGTCTAACTTAAATAATCAACTAACCCAAGTAACTGATTCTGCACATACAAAATCTTCCCCAGATCTTGCAATAAAAAATGAAGACAAGAAACCAGATGAAGAAAAGTCAAAATCTTCTCCTAAAAAAGAAAAACCATCTGTCCCAAGAAAGAAACCTCAAAGTTCTAAATCAGTTGATAATAATGCAGAAGATAGGAGAGCAAGAAGGAATGGTGCTGTATTTACTTATACTGTTTCAGTTGATGGATCTGATGTTAAGTCTTCTAAAGATCAAACTAAAATGAAGGAATTAGTCAACACCGATCAAAGACCTTACTCTCGGCATGCGAGTAATAAACTTGACACACAAACAGAGGATAGTGTTACATTTACTGTCAACAAACGAACAGGTTTTGGAAGAAAGAATAATACGACTGAAAATCAAAACAACAACAATACCTCCTATGATCATCTTTCTCGTGGGCAACGCTCTAGCATCTCAGATAGAAAGCAATTGTTTGAAAAATTTGAAAGCACAGTAAACAAACCATCAACTCCAAGAAAAATTGCTGTTGAAATTAAAGTGCTAAATAATTTAGCTCTTGTAGGAGGTAAAGAAGATGAAGATACATCCACCAACTCATTAAAGATATCTTCATGTCCTCAGGCATCGACAGAGAAGATAGCTTCTTCTGGTTCTTCGACAGAGAAGATAGCTTCTTCTGGTTCTGAGAAATCGTTAGTTTTAACTGAAAATATACCATCATCACCAAAGAAAAATGCCACAAAGGAATCTGAATTGGCTTCCAGTGAAGAAAGAAATAACGAAAAAGTTGTACGACGGCAGCGAAAGTTTAGCTCGCGAGAGAGTAATAATAACCAATTAGATTCAAATATCAATAACAACAACAACAATAATAATGAAAACAGTATCCAACCAGCTATTGAACAAAAACGTCGTAAAAAGAATTCAAAAGTTGAAAGAAGGCCATCAAAAAAGAACCATGATATTCAAAAGTCTGGTAAAGAAATCAAAGCTGAAAAACAAGTACGTGAACGCAAATCCTCTACCTCAAAAGTTGAACCGCGTGATATCAAATCTCCTAATATAAGCCAAACCAAGAAAAAAAAAGATTCTTCAGAAGGAGTTACTAATAATAGGTGGTCATTCACAGGTAAACATAAAGAGGATGCTAAAGTGGATTCAAAACAAACACAGAACACTGATAAGGGAAAGGGAAAGAAACGTTCAAGCTCAAAGCAGCGTTCAAATGGCTCTACAGATTCCCTGTTCTCCAAAAGTCGCGACTCTAAGGAAAGAAGTAGTTCATCTTCATGTGCAGCTGAAGGACAGGCAGCTAGCCAACAGCATCGCAAAGGAAGCACTGAATCCAAAGATGGCACTTCAGAAACCAGTGAGCCTCGGGAAAGAAGGTCAAGAATTGACAAACAATCTAGAAGATCACGTTCCCGTAATAAGCCTGATCGGGTTAACTTCTTCGAGCTTATTAAGAGATCACCTTCAGTTGACGGTTCAAAAATACCCCAAGAGCAATCTATGAAGCCGGGAAGGCCAGTGCGGGCTCAGTCTGTGGATCGAACATCAAGAAGCAGCTGGTTTTCAAAGAAGACAGATTCAATTACAAACTTTCTTAGAATGTCCAAGTAAGAATTGTAAACTTTTTGTTCAATGTTACCTTTAGAAAAAAATCCTAACTATTACTTGAATGCAGTGCTGTGATTTTCTTTTACACTATCTACTTGCCTGTTATTGCAATTCCTGTAAACACTTGCAAAGAAATGTGATGCTATTTATTAGCCTCAGGTTGGAAGTGTCTTTTCTTAATGTTTGAGCAATGAAAATTAAATTCCTACACTTAAATTACTGTACACAACTAAAATGTTTATTAATGGAATTAAAATGTTTATTAATGGAATTAAAATACACTAAGGACCATTTTCAATAGCAAACAGTTTTGTTATCATGACAAGGACCCCCACTTTACCCACCACATTGTCTTTGATTGTGGTATGTTGCCATAACAGTCAACAGTTGCATCGTTCTTTGACTTTTACTCCTATTTCTTCAGTGTTGATGACTGCATTGAAATTGATGATTGGTCTGAGTATCTAGACTTTTGTCAAGACACTCTTGATTATTTGCATGAAGATTACACACGATGCTGTCATAACGAGGATGTGTGGCAGCTACACGATGAGTTGCACAACATACGAGAAACCAGTATACTGACATAAATCACTAGATACTTAGTTCTGCATGTAAGGTTTGTGGTTTGCTAACACATTATAATGCTTTAATATTTCTCCCCCCTTGAATGTGCTCGACATGGAATAGAAATGCTAAATGTGACCTTTGAACCCTTCTTGACCTTGCCTTTATAAAATAACTATAACAATTGAATTGGATTGAACGAGGAAGCTGTAAATTTTAGCTATCTAATTGAAATTTGTATCACAGATGGCCTTGTGAGAGCCTTGGTCATAATGCATGTAAATATAAAGAATAATAATTACAAATAGATTCCATAGATGTCTTAGTATGAATTGCATCTCTCACAGGATTCGCACTTTAACCTGAAAATGTTTAATGATGTTTATTTATTATGTTGAATATATTCTATTCTTTCAATAGGAATTAACGTGATATAAGAAGAGGGCGTTACAAGAACTTACTGCTATGCTAGTGCTCTACAGGAGTGAATACATTCTACAAGTACAGATGATAATGGTCATCCAATATGTATGCGTATTTCAGCTATTATTATGCAACTTCCATGATAGAAGCCAGTGTAATTTATAATTTAAGCATGATCTTGAATAATTTCTCCACCATGAGAAGGTTAAAGGACATTCTTGCCTTTGGTGTTTATAATGTTGAACATATGTAGAGTGAGAACATTGCACATATTAGAGATAGCTGGAGCATTAGCACCTATTTTATAACAAAATGTGGACTATTAGCACCTATATAATAAACTAATAATTTACACCTTATGGAATCCAGTGTGCTATAGATATGTAAACTTGTTCTTAAAACATAAAGGATCATGCAAAAAGGACAAAGGATGTGGATTAGTAATTGTGGATGTCAACAGATATTTGAAGGTACCCTAGTACAAGATATTTAGATACAAGTTCACATGTTTTTGCATCTTGCCTCAGGGTATTGTACACGACAGGGTGACAGATTTGTAATTTTGGTGCTTAATTGAAATTTGACAATGTACCTGCTTAACCTTACTGAAATAATGCAAACATAACATGTATTTATAGTAGATTTTTGTATATATTGTATATTAAAAATAGAGGTATTGATTTTAGTTGATTGTTTAAAAAAACCTTAAAAGTATAACTACCCATAAATTTTTTATACTATATATTAAATATATGTAGAGTGAAAACATAAAATTTATCTAATGTTTGTATATTTTATAAAGCAAAAGTAGTTCAAACCAAAATTGCTATTAATGAGGGCAGTAGGACTGATAGGCCAGCAGTTTCTGTACGTATTCAAACCCATAGATGCACAAGTATGCAAGCAATAGTAGTAATAAATACGCAACTAAAAGTATGTATGTTTTTTCTCCATTTCATTTGAACAATTTGGGTTTGTACAGCAAAAATGGATATTCCTTGGTTTCTGTCCATAAAACAATAAATCAATTATTTCTTATTTATTCAAAAAACCTCCAGAACAGAGAAGTAGAATGAACAATAATACCAAATCATTTTGATGTAGCTTTCAATATGACATGATCAGATATGCAGCCATTTTATTTAATACTTAGCACATCTGTAGGGGCTGATCCAGTGCCCACCCCTTCCCCTAAAAAATAAATATATTTAAAAAAAAAGAGGGGTGCACTACAGTACTCCAAAATAGCAATTTATTTAAATTCTGTGTAATTTTGCAGATTTCGGGGGAGTGGAGGGTGTAATAGAAATAAACATAAAAATTATTTTTTAAGAAATTTTTCGCTGTCTGGCCAAATATAAAATTTTATTTTTATTCAAATTAACCATTTTTGGAGGTTGGAGGGTTCGCTAAAAAGCTACTAAGAGATTACCATGTTGAAAACACTGATGATTTGATGTTGTCTTTGATGTTGACATCCGATGTTTCTACTCTTGTAAATTTTATTCAAAATGTATTGATTTAGGCCTACCATTAATAAGTTGTAGACATCACAAAAGTTACATGAAGCTACATTCAGTAGTGGATATTTCGTGGGTGGAGAGGGGGGGGGGCGGTAGGGGAATGCCAAAATATAGATATGTTATATCAGATCATAGCCATCGAAGTATCATTAAAGCAGTTGGTGGGGGAAGGGAGGGTTTGGCATTTAACAAATTTGGTAGTAACTGAAGACTGGAAATTTGCTACTTACGCCTATCCGTGGATACAGAATGTTAAAGCAAGGTCTGAGAGCATATCCAGTCCAGCCCCACTATGGTTTGTGAACAACTTTTTCGGCACCTCTGGATGCATGGAAATAGCAGCTGGCAAACCTGTAGAGCTGCTACCCCTCCCCATTGGCAGACACAAGATTTACTGTTAGTGGAGATTAGAGTCCATACCCACCTCAGCCTCACATGATTAGGGCTGAGGTGAGCACATTTTAAAATATGGCACCTAAATATAGCAACTTTATTGTCATAAAAATATGTAGTACAGTACAAGGTTAAAAATGTTAATACCTGGACACAGACGTTAGTAGCAGGACTCAAAATAATGAGCAAATCACAATTTGTAGGACTATTTTAAATCAGGTGAATAAGACAAATGTAAGACTAATGCGAAAATGATAAATTGCTCAAAATTATATTCATATCATTGCCATAACTAGGTGAATTGTGTTTCTTAATTCTCCATGAATAAATAATGTGCAAGAAATACATATATACTGTAATACAATGAAGAACAATGACTATAAAAACTGTGATTATATTTACACGGATGTGCAGGCTTTTGTAAAATATAAATAATATGCAATTAAATAAAACATGTTATGAATACACAGGATAAAATATACAATGGAAATGGCCCTCCTAAGCCTACATCATGAATACTGTATACATCATGAATACTGTACTGTTGAAGAGTTTTGACAATTTTAAGTACAGTTCCTTGCAAAAATTAGATGAGTTGTACTATCAATTGAATTGTTAATTTTTAAGTGTTGTGTTTGATTCTGGTTACACATTAATAATTAGTCAATTCTTGATATATTTATGGCAGACAGACCATGTACAGTAGGTATAGGTATACCTCCATGGACAGATCTAACCAGGTGAGACAACTGATAAAGTACAGTACTAACATAAAAGTTTCTTTTGTGAAAGAGTGAAGAGCACAATGTTGCTGAATGGGGTTGGATTTACAGGGGGCCAGAGGTCATATCACTAAATTTGTTTACTTTGATGGCCAAAAAAATATGAAGTGATGATAACATTGAAGGTGATGATGATGATGATGATGTCAACGATGATGATGTTGACATAAGTGGTGGCATGCTTCGAGTGATGGAGACACTATGCAGATTATCATTAATGGTAAGCCTGATGTGAACAACTTTGAAAATATGGCTTCACTAGATGCCCAAAAATAGCAGCTCATCTTGCAAATCAGCTACCCCTATTCCAACCCCATGCTGGGGCAGATACAGGATTTAAATTATATATATATATATATATATATACAAGAACAACCACTGTGATTAAAATTTACTAGAATTATTATGGGTAGGACTACGATTGACAAAAAACTGGGAAGCAAACACTTTATTATTTACCGAAAGAGCAAATCAAAGGATGGTTTTCCCGAGATAATTAAAAACCTTTAATATAAGCTCTGAAATGTTAAAAACCTGAAACTCTATTTGATAGACATTTTAGAGAAGATAATTCACAATTGAAATACTGCTATGTCTCGTCTTGGTGGGCGAGGACCTTCTTTCAGCTGATGGGTCATGGTGGTCTCTTCTTGTTCCGGAGACACCACCCACCCATATGATTCTCTCACGGAATGTATTTTTTATTCTTTCATATTTCTGAATTGCATGTACTCTACTACTGTTTTTGCCTATCAGATCAATCAACACTAATTTCATTTTTACCATGTTAAAATGAAAATAAAGGAGTCGTACAAATTGGTTGGCCTTGTTTACATGTTTTATACTTCAGTTATCCTGAGTTTGTAAATTATTTCCCAATTATTGACATTTTATGTGTAGAAGTCAGCTTGAATTACTTAGTACCTTTCAAATGACAGATTGCTCAAATGACAATGATTAGTGTCAGTTATTGTTTCTTGATTGCAGCTCACTTGACGAAGTGGCCTCCATACAAAATTGTTACATGGCGGCTTAATTTCTTGGGGTTGATGAAGTGGCCTCCTATACAAAATTGTTACGCGACGGATCAATTTCTTGGGGTTTTGTGTCCAATGAATTCAAAATTTAAAAAAAATAAATAAACAGTCTCAGATCCTATTTCCTGACATTCAGCTTCTTCCCTCGTACACTAAGAGACTGGGATTCTCTCTTCCATGTAACAAAATAGAATTATCTGTCATTCATAAGAGGCTATAAAAAAAAAAGTAATTTTGATAATCATCATCAGTTTATTAAAGTATTATTATTGCTTTTATTTATTATAATTATTTATGATATTTATTGTCATTATCATTAGTTTTGATTGGAAGTAGCAGAACCGAGGAAAACCAGAAGTGAAATGGCTGCTGCCCCAGAAATCACCTACAGTGGTCGGCTGGAGGGCAGTGGTTCCATCTAGATTTCAGGTTTGTTAAATTTCCACATTCATTTACTAAAATATACATACAGTATATACATATACAGTACATAAATTAAAGTTTAGTAGTGAAAATAATGTTGGCGGAGTATAAATTTAAATTCTTGAAACTTGCCAGGGTAGAGTTGCACATACAGTGTATGTATATGTGTATATATATATATATATATATATCATGCATGCCCTACTAGTAGATTCAAGACATTTAATAATTATTTAGAATACCGATCTGGCTGCAGATAAGCAGGAGCCTAGGACAATTTTCCTTTTTGGGATTTGGGATGGCTTACTGGCGTAAGCCATCACTCAGTTGCTGTATCACAATCATCGCACCATGCACGTTTGTTCATTAAAGTTCATACACATGAATAATCAATAAATCAGACTAATGAATATTTTACTGGACTCTGCATTGAGACAAGTGGTAAAGAAAAAAAACAATTGTTTTGAATATGCTGTTGTACAGTTTAATTAATTTTCAAACAGTTCTAATGCATATATGTACTATATTTAAACAATGATGAAAGTTTAATGTGCATTTGGTCTAGAATTTTAGGCTCATCTAAGATGAACATTTGTGAACATTTGTGAACATTTACTAAATACGTCACTACTCAATTTTAGAAACATTACAACACGATTCTATGAGGCGCACATTGATAAACATTATAAACGGCTTCTGTTATAAAGTTTCTAATGTTAAAGCAAATAAAAATTGGTCAATGCATAATTCCACATGTCTGCTCTAACCTAATTGTTGAGTTGGAAAAATTATTTTTGAAATACAAAACAATTACAATTACAAAATCTTTCATTTACTTGATAAATGTCTGCTTTAACCTAATGATTTAAGTTTGCAAAATTATTTTTGAAATAAAAAACAATCATGTTTACAAGATCTTTATTTACTAGATAAAGGCGCACAACGGATGATTTAACTTTACAGCATTCAACTTCTAGAGCTGGCCGCAATCATGTATCACAATCTTTTTGCTGGTCTTCCCATCCTTTGATCCGTATGATTCAACTTTTTTCACAACATCCATTCCTTCGACTACCGAACCGAAAACAACATGCTTGCCATCTAGCCTGCAAAACAAATCAAACAATTCTAGTCAAACGGTTCGCATTCCATCTCTTCCACTAATCAAATTTAGATATCTTGTCTCTTGTGTTAAAAAATCCATTTGAATTTTTTTTTTTATTTATTCAGGTATAAAACAACAACAACAAGCAGCCCAGAGGCTGAAAACGTTGAACTTACAAGATTTACACATTTACACATTAAAGATATACACTAATCACAATTACTTAGTAAAAAGTAATTATCACTTAAGTACTGAATTTCAATTATCACTAATAAACATTTTAGAAAGTTAATGAGTTATAAATTTAAAAAAACAATTAGAATTTGAATTAATGGTACTGTATATAAAAATTTATTATTCAGAATCAGATCTTAAACAGTCACTATTTTGATTGGCCACTAACTGTACAAAAACTAAAGAATGCATAAAGAATTTAATGCTTGACATGCTTATTGTATGCAAGCAATTTCAAAATCAAAAATACATTATTTGAAAATGTATCCATTTGTTTAAATTTTAATGATTAAGTTCTATTGCAATGCTTCCATGTCATGAACAAGAACAGTATACAAACTCGGTGCAAAATAGATTGGTGTTAACTTCAAAAGATAATATCTCTTTTTATACCTTCTGTCTACGTATATGTGTGTGTGTGTGTGTGTGTGTGTATCTCCTCCTCCCACCCCCAGTAGTGTGCAATACATGATAAAACAATGTGGGATAGCACACCTCTCTATACACATTTTCAAAAATAAATTTGCTGACTTTTTTTTATATTGTCAAATTGGATTAATTGCCTTAAATTTTTCATTCTGTTGTGTGCTTTTTATTTACCTCCTTTTGATCTTTTTTTAAAAATTAAAAATATCTTTGATATTTTTGTCCTAAAGTACAATACTATCCTTAATTGAAAAATCTCAAACAATCTGCTACCAAAACTTGTAAAATACCATAACTATAGTATGCTGATTGCTTAGTTTGGTTACCATGACAATAGACTGACAAACACTTGGTGCCACTATCAGTCTACCGATATAAGAACATGAGCCCAATTCTTGCCCAATAACCACATAGCCAAAATAGTGGTAGGTCTAGGTTCCATTTTTAACACAATAAACTTGCGTATTTTAATAATTCATTAAAAAAAAATATATAAACAACAATTAATAAACTTTCATTTTGTTTACATTTATTATTACCACATAGGCCTAGTCAAAATAATTGAATATTTAGACAAAATTGAGAGCAAGCACAAGGAAGAAACCACATGGCTAACCTTTCACCTAGATTGGTGGGGCATGATTTGTTGGATGTTTTTTTTTTTTTGATGAGGGCCAATTCACTGCCTCATGCTCAAGATCTTAGGCTTGTTTGTGATTGATGATTGTGGAGTGATGGTGTGGAATTTAGTATTAGAGAACACGTAAAACTTATGTTATCGTGAGCTTCAGTGGAATACAAATAATAAATTGTGCTTTAAAATGTTAAATAGAGCGAGTGGATGTAGGCTCATTGAATTCAAAAGGTAGGAATTAGGCCTAGAGAAAAGGAGAAGAAATAGGTAGGCTTGGACTAGCACAGCACAGTGAAACACATGGTCCCATTGCTTAGTGCTGTCAAGCTGTGGTTTAGGCTGCTGGCTCACAGTGCATTTCCCTTTTATTTCGAAATTGTTTATAAATCAACACATCGTTAATCAGGGATTCAAGATGACGCTGTGTATAAACAATTGATAAACTTAACATTTACTCGTGAATTGCTAGGTACAAAAACGTAGGCTAATATTTCCAAATGTACTTTTTGAAAAGCGTACTTCAAACCCCTCTCCCCAGCGTACGTTTTGTACACTCGTGAAAATGATGAAAATAATGCATGACCCCTAAGTGGGTTTGGCTTTTTATTTTCAATCGTGGATGGCAGAGATATGCATTCAAGAAAAAATGTGCGATCCTTACAGATTTTCAGTGGTAAATACAATCATGAAGTAGCATAGAATGCATCTAGCGAAAAACATTTGGGTGGGGGAGGGGAGTGGAATTACCCTGAACCCCACCCCCCTTTGCGGAGAGGTTTTGGAACAAAAGTCTCGCTTGCAACATGTATGAGTTATGGTGGGTGGGGGCCATCCAGCCCTGAAGTTTTCCAGTTCCCAGTCTAAAGCTAATTTCATGGTTCTGGCTGCCTCAACCTACCCTTATTAACCAACTTTCCCATCCCTAAAATCCAATCTTATTATTTTTCTCACCCTTAGTTTTCTACAGCTAAAACCCTGCCTATGTATGAAACCTCTACCCCCATGACACAAAATGACCCAGTAGCTTAATTATGCCATGGAGGAAATATATTAATAAAAATATTTCCTAGATGATTAAACTAAATTAAAAACTTATACTTGATTATACTCTAAATACTTTCTACTTGCAAAAAATACAACATGGTTAATAAAAATGATGAAGTATGGTGTTATCATTTTTTATGTCATTATTGGTATAGACCATTTGTATGGCCACCAATAGACATAAAAAATAAGTAACAGAGAATACCACACTATTTGGTATTACTACTCAATAATTTGTCATAAGCAATACTCTCAGTAAGTCCTGCACTATAGTAAAAACAATGTTATAAGCATTACAACATATATTTAGTATTTACTTTCCTTACCATGTAGTCTTGACTGTACACAAGAAAAACTGAGATCCATTGGTGTTGGGACCTGCATTTGCCATTGACAAAATACCTGAAGAACAATAAAAAATAAAATAACGACAAATGCTTTTCTAACTGGTACATAAAATGATATACATAAAAATTGGGCCAAAAATTTACATATGTACAGTATATACATTGTTCAAAAAAATCATATGGTTAAAAAAAAGAAGAGGGAATTGTGTCAATAAAAATAAGTGGAATCCAACAGCGATAAACACTATTAACACTAACAGGTTGAATGAAAACGTAATCAGGTCTTAAATATTGCCAAGGACTGAGTGTTTTTCATCAAATATGGGAGTAAGTTGAGAAGAGTTGGAGCAAAGTAACTGAAGCTGCATTTAAAAATTTATTATTTTGAGCTGGTAATGTTCAGATGACTGGAGATATTTCTTTGAGGTGGAACGACAGCTGTCGTCATAAATACTGCGGTGCTAATACTTTAAGAGATTTAAAGGCGAGACAGCCACTGCAAAGTGGAAGTTATAATGAGGATTGAAAGTTATGCTTGGGACTGGAAGTTATGCTTGGGATTGGAAGTTATACATTCATAAACTAACACAATTGCATACAAAGTATTGACACTTGCCACAGCATGACTATTTATTAATTGATCGACGCACCTCACTACTACAATAGAAGCATCCAGAATGTCAACAAAATTCAGAGGCTGCAAAATCTGTCTTTTCGCATAATTCTCAAAAAGTACATCCTTGCACAGCCTCTGTTGCACTTTCCTCACCTAAGCAGAACTTCCAATCCTAAGTATAACTTAACAATTAATCAGGTCTACAAAACTAAATTTTTGGGTTTACAAGCATTTATTTTAGCCTTCCTAAAATTGTCCTTTATACCTCATAAATGTTTTCCACAACTTCATGAATGCTTACAAAATAATTCTAAATTCAACAATGTGGACATGAAGATACTGTACTGTACTGTTAAATACTATCATTTTAAAATTTTCAGGCTTAATTGATTCATGCTCCTGTTTTCTCACACTTTCATTATACACACTGTACATGGTTTGTGACGTGATGTCCAGTAAGCTTGATAAACTTAGACTGGGGTCATATTTGGCTAAGGCACAACATTTAGATTGTCTAATTTTCCTCCATTTTAACATGGAGGAATTGGTTCAGAAGGAGATACATCGACCGTATCGCTTATCTTTAATCCAATTCAAATGTCAGTGAGTTACTATTAAAATGGACTACAAGCGCCGGTTGAGCTCATCGCAACGCTATCTCTTTATACACACAGCTCTTTGCCGCAAAAGTATAAGCCCCTATAGACGCTCTAACATTAGTGGCGTAAGTAAAATACAAACGAACAAACAAAATACACATGCGCAGCTCATTATGCGTGTTTTGTGTATTCAGATAGAATTTTTTTTTTGGGAGAAATACTGTACATGCTTTAAACATCAAAATCAGCCTAAATTAACCATTTCTTTTTTCATTGTAATAACAAAAGTGATGTAAATAAATTTACATTCGTAAAGGGTTCCTGTTGTCACCAGTTAATGAAATTTATTTCTAAGGATGGTAAATTTCATCTTCAAATAAACAATGAAGCCAGATCATGTGTGACATGCTCTTTTAAAACAAACTGTTCTTTTAATAACCACCAAATCACAAATTCATCATAACTCACTATCTGATCAAAATTATGTACATTCATCACTCAAATCTAATCTTATCATGCAGGATATATTTTTAATCAACAAACAAAAAGTACAGTACTATAAAATCTTGCTTGTGTATTTATTACCAAAATATATGATTTACTTCAGTATTTACACAAAACACATTAAATTTGTGACAGCTCCTCCCTTCTTCGAAACTTTGCCACTTCCATTCTTCAGACTAAACTTATCCAACATTTTACTAAGTCAGTATATGGTAGTAGTTGCTTTGAAGTTAAAAAAACTCCAGTCTATTTGCTTTCTCCAGGCCTTTTGCCAATGAAATTATACACACTTTGCTACTGGTACTTATATGTTGGGACCATCAATGTACTTGCCGATCTATCAACACCTGAAGAATAAAAATACATTCCCATGAAAATTTACACTTGCAGTATACAGATAATAAATAAACCAGAGCCTTGCAGGTGTCAACGTTCCTATGCATGATACATGACTTAAAAAGTATATAGGCCCTATATATATATATATATACACACGTGTATATATATACACCTATATATATACATATATTGTCTCTTATACACATCT